TAATATTATATTACTGATGAACGTGGGATCCTTTAGAGCCACGCATGGATTCATTCAGCATTGCTCATGTACTTGAAAGTTTAGTTATCCTATTAACTTAATAAATATTCTATCAGGATAACTCCTATTTATCCCCTGACACTCAAAGGTAGGGAGAGCGTGATGCTACACTTCCAGCTGGGCGAGACACTAGAAACAAAAACACCGATCAAATTCCTCCCAGATATAGATGAGTGTCCGGTGTCTCCAATTAAAGGCGCAGGTGATATCCTCGTGGTAGCTTTGGATAATGTCGTACGATGTCTATATTATTTATTTTCTATTTTTATCATACATTCCAGTCGTCACTGACCCAGTCCCATCAATGTCGAGGTATTCACACATTTTCCTTTAGTACTGTGGTCAAATCCTAGAACTTATGATATTAATTGTATTCAAAGCTCACCTTTGGCAACATCAACTGCCAGAAACTTTGTCTCTCTATATCATGTCTCTTTTCCAAATCACTAATTAACGACTTTATCACATCACTACGGCCGTCACTAACCAGATACTAGCACTTTTTTTCTGATTAGTGGTCACAGCCTTGACCTGTTGTTAATAACTACTTTTTTGTGATCACTTGTGTCTAGACACCTCCGCCTGCAACACTGACCCGCTGCTCGCTACCCCTTACTCAGGTTTCCAGTAAATTATGTTGTAAGATTTTTGAGCTTATCATTCTTTTCAGACTCTGGAAACCTTGTACTCTTGAAGGTATGTTCACACACTCAGCGCTCAGTGAAGAGGCGGGACCAGGAGCTGAGTATCGACCCCTGCAACCACAATTAGGTGAATACAATTAGGTGAGTACACACACACACACACACACAGTAGCGACCAGTGAAGAGGCGGGGCCAGGAGCTATAAATCGACCCCTGCAACCACAACTAGGTGAGTACACACACACACACACACACACACACACACACACACACACACACACACACACACACAAACAAACACGCATATACTACAGGCCTAGTGTCAATCGACATGTGCCTAGGACAAAATGGTAACTGATTGTCTCCCATACAATGACTGCTGACAAGATCCTAGAACACTAAATGATACTACCTCACGCATGTGTGTACTCACCTAATTGTGATTACAGGGATTGAGACTCAGCTCCTGGCCCCGCCTCTTCACTGAGTGCTACTAGGTCCTCTCTCTCCCTGCTCCATGAGCTTTATCATCCCTCATCTTAAAGATATGTATGGTTTCTGCCTCCACTACCTCACTTGCTTGGCTATTCCACTTCCTGACTGCTCTATGACTGAAGAAATACTTCCTAACATCCCTCTGACTCATCTGGGTATCAACTTCCAACTGTGACCCCTTGTTTCCATGTCCCCTCTCTGGAACATTCTATCTCTGTCCACCTTGTCAATTCCACGCAGTATTTTATATGTCGTTATCATGTCTCCCCTGACCCTCCTGTCCTCCAGTGTCGTCAGACCGATTTCCCTTAACCTTTCTTCGTAGGACATTCCCCTTAGCTCTGGAACTAACCTTGTCGCAAACCTTTGCACTTTCTCTAATTTCTTGACGTGCTTGATAAAGTGCGGGTTCCAAACAGGTGCTGCATACTCCAATGTCGGCCTGACGTACACAGTGTACAGTGTCTTGAACGATTCCTTACTAAGGTATCGGAACGCTGTTCTCAGGTTTGCCAGGCGCCCATATGCTGCAGCAGTTATCTGGTTGATGTGTGCTTCCGGAGACGTGCTCTGTGTTATACTCACCCCAAGATCTTTCTCCTTGAGCGAGGTTAGCGGTCTTTGGCCACCTATCCTATACTCCGTCTGTGGTCTTCTTTGCCCTTCCCCGATCTTCATGACTTTGCATTTGGCGGGGTTAAATTGGAGAAGCTAGTTGCTGGACCAGGTATCCAGCCTGTCCAGGTCTCTTTGAAGTCTTACCTGATCCTCATCTGATTTAATTCTCATCATTAACCTCACATCATCTGCGAACAGGGACACTCCTAAGTCTAACCCTTCCGTCATATCATTCACATATACCAGAAGTAGCACTGGTCCTAGGATCGACCCCTGTGGGACCCCGCTCGTCACAGGTGTGTGTGTGTGTGTGTGTGTGTGTGTGTGTGTGTGTGTGTGTGTGTGTGTGTTTGTGTGCTCACCTAGTTGTACTCACCTAGTTGTGGTTGCAGGGGTCGATTCATAGCTCCTGGCCCTGCCTGTTCACTGGTCGCTGCTGGGTCACTCCTCCTGCTCCATGAGCTTTATCATACCTCTTCTTAAAGCTATGTATGGATCCTGCCTCCACTACATCACTTCCCAGACTTTTCCACTTCCTGACAACTCTTTGACTTAAGAAATACTTCCTAATGTCCCTGTGATTCGTTTGAGTCTTCAACTTCCAACTCTGACCCCCGTGTTGCTGTGTCCCATCTCTGGAACATCCTGTCTCTGTCCACCTTGTCGATTCCTCTCAGTATTTTATACGTCGTTATCATATCCCCTCTATCTCTCCTGTCTTCCAGTGTCGTCAAGTCGATTTCCCTTATGCTCTCCTCGTAGGACATACCCCTTAGCTCCGGGACTAATCTTGTTGCAAACCTTTGCGCTTTCTATAATTTCCTCACATGCTTAGCTAGGTGAGGGTTCCAAACTGGCGCTGCATACTCCAATATGGGCCTAACGTACACAGTGTACAGGGTCCTGAATGACTCCTTATTTAGATGTCGGAATGCTGTTTTTAGGCTTGCCAGGCGCCCGTATGCTGCAGCAGTTATTTGGTTGATGTGCGCCTCAGGAGATGTCTCCGGTGTTATACTCACCCCAAGATCCTTTTCCTTTAGTGAGGTTTGTAGGTTCTGCCCCCCTAGATTGTACTCAGTCTGTGGTCTTCTTTTCTTTTTCCCAGTCTTCATGACTTTGCACTTGGATGGGTTGAACTCCAGGAGCCATTTGCTGGACCAGGCTTGCCGCCTGTCTAGATCCCCCTGTAGTTCTGCCTGGTCCTACTCCGATCAAATTCTTCTCATCAACTTCACATCATCCATAAACAGGCCCACTTCGGAGTCTATTCCTTTTGTCATATCGTTCACATGTACCAGAAATAGCACCAGTCCTAGGACTGATCCCTGTGGCACCCCGCTCGTTACAGGCGCCCACTCTGACACCTCGCCATCTACCATGACTAGCTGTTGTCTTCCTGACAGGTATTCATTTATCCACTGTAGTGCCTTCCCTGTTGTCTCTGCCTGGTCCTCCAGCTTTTGCACTCATCTCTTGTGTGGAACTGTGTCAAACCCCTTCTTACAGTCCAAGAAAATGCAAACTACCCATCCCTCTCTCTCTCTTGTCTTACTGCCATCACCCTGTCATAGAACTCCAGTAGGTTTGTGACGCAGGATTTCCCATCTCTGAAACCGTGCTGGCTGTCATTGATAAACCCATTCCTTTCTATGTGCTCCACCACTCTTTTCCTGATAATTTTCTCCATGACCTTGCATACTATACACGCCATTGACGCTGGTCTATAGCTTAATGCTTTGTGTCTGTCTCCTTTTTTAAAAATTGGGACTACATTTGCTGTCTTCCATACTTCCGGTAGTCGCCATGTTTCGATAGATGTGTTGAGGGTAGTTGATATTGGTACTCAAAGTGCCTCTGCTCCCTCTCTCAGGACCCATGGAGAGGTGTTATCCGGCCCCATCACATTTAAGGTATCCAGCTCACTTAGCAGCCTCTTCACTTATTCTTCGGTTGTATGTATTGTGTCCAACACTTGATGGTATACCCCACCTCTCCGCCTTTCTGAAGACCCTTGTCTCCACTGTGAACACTTCTTTGAATCTCATTTTGAGCTCCTCACATACTTCGCGGTCATTTTTTGTGACCTCCCCTCCTTCCTTTCTCAGCCTTATTACTTGGTCCTTTGACTGTTGTTTTCCTCCTGATGTGGCTGTACAACAGCTTTGGGTCAGATTTGACTTTCGCTGCTATGTCATTCTTGTATTGTCTTTGGGCTTCCCTTCTTACCTGTGCATATTCATTTCTGGCTCTACGACTTCTCTTCTTATTATCCTGGGTCCTTTGCTTTCTATACTTCTTCCATTCCCTAGTTCACTTGGTTTTGTCCTCCCTTCACCTTTGGGTGAGCCATGGGCTCATCCTGGCTTTTTCGTTATTCCTGTTACCCTTGGGTACAAAAATCTCCTCAGCCTCCTTGCACATTGTTGCTACATATTCCATCATCTCATTAACTGGCTTCCCTGCCAGTTCTCTGTCCCACTGAACCCCGTTCAGAAAGTATGTGTGTGATACAACACACTAACCAACTTGACTTACACTTGACTTTCTGACTTTGGGCTTACTTGTACTTGTAAAGTTGGCTATTTGTGTGTGTGTGTGTGTGTGTGTGTGTGTGTGTGTGTGTGTGTGTGTGTGTGTGTGTGTGTGTGTGCTTGTGTGTGTGTGTGTGTGTGAGTGTGTGTGTATGTGTGTGTGTGTGTGTGTGTGTGTGTGTGTGTGTGTGTGTGTGTGTGTGTGTGTGTGTGTGTGTGTGTGTGTGTGTGTGTGTGTGTGAGTGTGTGTGTGGGTGTGTATGTGTGTGTGTGTGTGTGTGTGTGTGTGTGTGTGTGTGTGTGTGTGTGTGTGTGTGTATGTGTGTGTGTGTGTGTGTGTTTGTATACGTGTGTTTTTGTGCGCTTACGTAATCAGGATATCCCGAAAGACAGCACTTACATTCTCTTACTCTTAATGATTATCATTAAGTCCACTTTAGCGACCTGCTTACGAAAAGAACGAGTATGAGAAAAAGAAAGTTAAAAGAGCGTAGTAGTTAATGAATGAATTACTAGCCCAGAGAAACACAAAACAATTTGAAAAAGAAAACACTGACTCATCAGCTTATCATTATAGACAGGAAGGGAAAACATTTTACTCGTAAATGTCACAAGCGTGAAGCAGTAGGCCAGAGACAGTTACGTTTCACCCGGCTCAGTCTGGTTTGTGTCACTGTTGTATAGGTTCGATGACGTGTTATAGTTCTTCTGGAATGGGCAAAGAGCTCCCGAAGGCGTGTGTGATTCTGTGGCAGTTGTTCCTGATAGCCCTCGTCTTAGGATATCCTTTATCACCCCCTACATCTGATGTAGCCCTTTCATCAGTAATGAAACACACTGCACCTCCGTTCTCTTCAAGGATGCCGTCCTCATTAATTGCCAGCGTGCCTGTGTTATCCAGAATCACCGAGCAATATCAGCCTTTGAATATCAAAAAAGGTACAGGAAAATCAGGAAATTTCCCGAGAGAGAATCGTCAGCAAAGATCTGTGTCACAGAGAAATGAATGTTTGCAAGATGCCGTTCAAGCCAATAATAATTCAAAAAACAATTTTAATACCAATAACACACATGGTATTGTTTTCCTGTATCCCGAGGAAGACTTTGAGTATTTAAAAGTACTGTTGACAATGAACACTGGAGAACAATATTTAACGTTTACCAAAGCAGCACTTTGTATAAACGAGACAAATCGATGGTACAAACTTGAATTCAGTGCGCAAGAGTTCAGGCTACTTATCTTAAATACATGGATTATTAATGTGACAGTAGACTCTTGTTCTATGTCTAAGGGAACAAACGTGCGCCTATTCGGTAGGTTCCAGAGCTTAGAAGTGTCTGTCATGGGAAGGTATTATTGGAGGACCAATGAATGCCTCTTCACTCCATCTGATGTCTCCGCACAAACAACAGCTGGAGTTGTTACATTCATCACATTGGCCATTGTCATCGGTGCAGTTATCGTTGTAGTCGTCGTTTATCGTCGAAAACGAGGTTAGCAAGCCTTTTACTCTAGATTTGTTGAATTATCGCCTTGATCGTAAATAAAGCATAAATCATTCTTCATGGATTTGTTCATTAAATTATTCTATTGATCGTAACTGAAGAAATAAATCATCCCTGGTATATTTATTTACTGACTTAGTCGTCCCCATCTTGAATCAATTGTTGATCTAGAGAGTATTTTGAATTATTTTCAATAAAACAGTCAACAAGTTCTTAAAAAAAAAAAACACTCAAACACACAAATACATACACATGCTTACGAAAGCACACACAGACACGGACTGACAGATACACAGATGGACAGGGAGACAGACAGACAGACAGACAGACAGACAGACACACACACACACACACACACACACACACACACACACACACACACACACACATACAGACACACACACACACACACACACGCACACACACACACACACACACACGCACGCACACACACACACACACACACACACACACACACACACACACACACACACACACACACACAGCCACATGGGAGTCCCGAAACATGGAGAGCCAAGATGATGGATGTGGTACTGGAAAACTTCATGCACCAAAATGTTAGGGACACTACCAGACAGAGAGGGGCGGATGAACCAGCAAGACAGGACCTTGTGTTCACCCTGAGTAGCTCAGACATCGAGGACATCACATATGAAAGGCCCCTTGGAGCTAGTGACCACATTGTTCTGAGCTTTGAATATATCGTACAGCTACAAGTAGAGAGGGTAACAGGAATAGAAAGAGAAAAGCCAAACTTCAAAAGGGAGGGCTACACAGGTATGACAACCTTCCTGCAGGGGGTTCAGTGGGAAAGAGAGTTGGTAGGAAAGTCAATAAACAAAATGATGGACTACGTAACAACAAAATGCAAGGAGGCAGAGGAAAGATTTGTTCCCAAGAGTAACAGAAATAATGGGAAGACCAGAATGAGCCCTTGGTTTACCCGAAGATGTAGGGAGGCAAAAATTAAGTGCGCTAGAGAATGGAAAAAGTACAGAAGGCAAAGGACCCAGGAAAATAAACAGATTAGTAGACGAGCCAGAAACGAGGGAGGCCCAGCGGCAGTACGAAAACAACATAGCATCGAAAATCAAGTCTGACCCGAAACTGCTTTACAGCCACATCAGGAAGAAAACAACAGTCAAGGACCAAGTAATCAGGCTGAGAAAAGAAGGTGAGGAGATCACAAGAAACGATAAAGAAGTATGTGAGGAGCTCAACACGAGAATACAGGAAGTATTTACAGTGGAGGCTGAAGGGACACTGGGAAAACAAACAAGAGGGGTACACCAACAAACGATATACCAACAAGTGTTGGATGAAATATACTCAACCGAGGAGGAGGGGGAGAAGTGACCTTGATATTTCAAAGGCGGTGGGACCGGATATCTCTCCGTGGGACCTTAGAGAGGGAGCAGACACTCTGTGTGCTACTAACCACAATCGTAAACACATCCCTTGAAACTGGGCAACTACCTGAGGAATGGAAGGCGGCCCCATCTTTAAGAAAGGAGACAAAAACGAAGTACTAAATTATAGACCAGTGTCACTGACGTGTATAGTATGCAAAGTCATGGAGACGATTATCAGGAGAAGAGTGTAGGAGCACCTGGAATGGAACAAGGTTATAAACGACAGCCAGTATCGATTCATGGAGGGTAAATCCTGTGTCACAAACCTACTGGGGTTTTATGTCAAGGTAACTGAAGTAAGAAATGAGAGGGAGGGGTGGGTTGATTGCATTTTCTTGGACTGCAAGAAGGCCTTCGACACAGTTCCTCACAAGAGATTAGTGCAGAAGCCAGAGGATCAGGTACAGTTTCTCGCAAGAGATTAGTGCAGAAGCTAAAGGATCGACACAGTTCCTCACAAGAGATTAGAGCAGAAGCTAGAGGATCAGAGAATACCTGACAGGGAGGCAACAGCGAGTCATGGAACGTGATGAGGTATCACAGTGGGCGCCTGTGACGAGCGGAGTCCCACAGGGGTCAGTCCTGGGACCAGAACTATTCTTGCTATATGTGAATGACATGACGGAAGGGATAGACTCAGAAGTGTCTCTGTTTGCAGATGATGTAAAGTTAATGAGAAAAATTAAATCAGATTTTCTCTTAGCAGATTGCAATGGGCTTAGAGAACACTTATCATCTGTTGACTGGGGTAACGAAGAGAGCTATCAATATGACAGTTTTCTGAACACTATACATGCTGCTCAAAGAACGTTTATCCCGGATAAAGAAATTAAATCAAATAGAAATGACCCAAAATGAATGAATAATAGGCTGAAATATCTACTAGGGCATAAGAAAGGAATTTATAGGCGTATCAAAAGAGGTGAGGGTCATCTTATGAATCAGTATATTGACATTAAGAGAGACGTTAAAAAGGGGATAAGAAAAGCTAAAAGGGACTATGAAATTAAAGTTGCTAGGGATTCGAAAACTAACCCAAAAAGTTTTTTCCAGGTCTATAGAACGAAAGTTAGAGATAAGATAGGTCCCCTTAAAAATAACTATGGGCATCTTACTGACAAAGAGAATGAAATATGCTCGATTTTAAATAATTATTTTCTCTCAGTTTTTACACAGGAAGACACTAACAATATTCCAGTAATTAATTTTTATAGTGGGCCTGAAGAAGATAAATTAGGTAACATCACAGTTACTAGTGAAATGGTTATGAAACAAATAGACTGACTGAAGCAAAATAAGTCGCCGGGTCCTGATGAGCTTTTTGCAAGGGTTCTTAAGGAATGCAAAATGGAACCCTGTGAACCATTAACTAATATTTTTAATTTATCTCTTCAAACAGGTGTAGTTTCTGATATGTGGAAGATGGCTAATGTAATTCCTATTTTTAAAGCAGGGGACAAGTCGTTACCGTCAAATTACCGCCCAATAAGCCTGACCTCAATTGTAGGCAAATTACTAGAGTCAATTATAGCTGAGATTATAAGAAGCCATCTCGATAAGCATAGCTTGATTAATGATACTCAGCATGGATTCACGAGAGGCCGTTTTTGTCTAACTAATTTATTAACTTTCTTCAGTAAAGCTTTTGAGGCTGTTGATCACGATAAAGAATTTGATATTATTTACTTAGATTTTAGTAAGGTTTTTGATAGAGTTCCGCACCAAAGACTGTTAAAAAAAGTGGCAGCTCATGGCACTGGGGGAAAAGTGCTCTCGTGGATCGAGTCATGGCTCACAGACAGGAAGCAGAGTGTCCATAAATGAGGTTAAATCCGAGTGGGAACCTGTAACAAGTGGCGTTCCATAGGGATCAGTCTTGGGCCAGTTGTTGTTTATAAGAACATAAGAAAGGAGGATCACTGGAGCAGGCCTGTTGGCCCATACTAGGCAAGTCCTTTACAATCCAGGCAGGAACGACCTCTCGTGAATCCATGCTGAGATTCATTTACCAAGTTATGCTCTTCAAGGTGACTTCTAATAATATCAGCTATAATTGATTCTAATAACTTGCCCACTATAGATGTCAGGCTTATTGGACGATAATTTGAAGGAACGAACTTATCCCCTGATTTGAATATAGGAACCACATTAGCCATCTTCCACAACTCTGGCACAACACCGGTAAGGATGGACGCATTAAACACACTCGTTAATGGCTGACTAAGCTCCATCTTGCATTCCTTAAGTACCCTGGAAAACAGCTCATCGGGTCCCGGGGGCTTATTTTGCTTCAGTTTGTCAATCTGTTTAATAACCATGTCCCTCGTGACAGTAATGTTAATTAATTTAAATTCATCAGGAACTAAATAATTGTTAATTATTGGAATCTCATTTACATCTTCATGTGTAAAAACTGACAAAAAATAGTCATTAAGTAAGGAACACATTTCCAGTTCATTATCCGTCAGCTGTCCATTCCCAATTTTCAGAGGTCCTACTTTTTCCTTCACCTTCGTCCTATACACTTGAAAGAACCCCTTTGGATTAGTCTTTGAATCATCAGCAGCTCTAATTTCATAGTCACGTTTAGCCTTTCTAATCCCCATTTTTATTTCTCCTTTAAGCTGAACATATTGGTCAGTAAGGTTAACCTCTCCTCTTCTGATGCGCCTATAAATTCCCCTTTTCTCCACTAATAGATGTTTTAGCCTCCTGTTAACCCATTTTGGATCGTTATTATTAGACCTAATTTCTCTCTGGGGAATGTATATACTCTGGGCACGGTGTACATTATTAAGAAAACAACCATAAAAGCAGATCCCTTCATAATCATAAGTATGATCATCGTCAATAAAATCATTAGCTAGATAACTCCAGTCAAGATTAAACACGTGTTCCCTAAGTCCATTATAATCGGCAGAACGAAAATCAGGGATTTTTACTGTATTATCATTATTCTTGCATTCCCAGTTAATGCTAAAAGTGATGGATTTGTGATCACTTGCGCCAAGCTCTTCAGTGATCTCCAGATAATTTACTAGTGTTTCCTTATTTGACAAGACTAGGTCTAGCAAATTATTACCCCTGGTAGGCTCTGTTATATACTGCTTCAGAAAACAGTCCTGAACTGTTTCCATAAAGTCACTGGATTCTAGATTACCTGTCAAAGAATTCCAGTCAATTTGACTAAAGTTAAAATCCCCTACTATCACAATGTTATTGTGTCTAGAAGCCCTAGCAATTTCGTCCCAAAGAAGTCTCCCTCTATCGTGATCCAAGCCTGGAAGTCGGTAGATTACACCTAGAATTAGTTTTTCTTGACCCTCTACAGACTCTACCCAAAGAGATTCTGTTAGTGTTCCTTCTATTTTTATACCTGTTTTTATGCAACAGTTAATATTTTCTCGAACATATAATGCAACTCCTCCCCCCTTCCCATCACATCTATCCACATAGAAGAGCTTAAACCCTTGAATATTACACTCAGCAATCATATCCCGACTCTTTAAATTATACCAGGTTTCAGTTAATGCAATGACATCAAAGTTCCCAGCA